AGGCTCTGAGGAACCTTATCTAGTTGAAGATGTCTCTGCAGGGGGTTGGACTACATGACCTTTAAAGGTTGCTTCCAACTCAAACTATTCTATAATCTTGAACATCTTGTAACAAAGACTCACTGAAATGTGTAGCCACTGGGACTTCCTAAGTAGACCTGACTGTTCCCTTACAATAGCTACTTGTAAAACAAGGCTCTAAAAAGATGGAAATTAGCATGAGAGACTGTCATGAAGTGTTCTGTACCTTGGAGCAGCAGTGGGTGAGTAGCAACTGGTCAACAATAGGCTTTCTGTTAGTAGCTGGCTTCTTGTAAATAATTCAGAACCAAGCCCTGTCACTGTGCTTGCTAGAAAGAGTATTTAAAACTTCTGAAGCATTTTAAAATGTATAGTAGCAAACAGTCTTAAATATATGCTGTAGTCTCTAGCTTTCACACAGTTTTACTAAGTCATTACAGAAATAATTTGGTACTTATAATTTGGTCACTGAAATGACCCCATACCCGACTGGAGTGTAACTGTGTGGTACTTTACTGAAAATGTTACAGCTCGTGTTTGGCACAGCCACAAGTGGCCTGAGCTTAGTGACAGTAAGATCTGTGGCAGTGCTTGGTTTGACCTACTTATGTAGGTTATACAAAGAATTTCAAGAGACTTTTCTTCAGAACTTCAAACTGTAGCTGTTTAGCTTTGTCATGACAAACCTTGATAGCTTTTGGCATACTTCTCAACTAGCTAGGGTTGGATCTGTGAAGTCTATAGAGAACAAATGTCTTCCCCAGATCATAATGGGATTTTTTTCTGGCTAGGAAAAAGGTGATTGAGCAGCAAACACTTGTTACAGTAACAGCTCTTGAAGCAAATGGGTTTTAAAATACTGTTACATTAATCAAATCTAACGCCATGACAGTTTCCTGACTTTGACCTATCTGCTGTTTGTGGTACAGTTCTTTCTATGTCAATTATGAAAGAAACTAACATTTTTTTCTTTTTCTTCCATGTGTTTTTTGACTGGAAACCAATGATGGCCCACTCAAACAGTACGGTAAGAAAACAGAGGGGACTTCTGCTTTCATGTTCTCCCTTTTTTCAGTAACTTGCAGTCTTTTTGCCCCAGCACTGTTATGACCTTGCCTACACCTGAAAAGCCTACTGTGACCCTCCAGGAGTGATTCACTAGTAATATTTATTCACAAGTCTGAGGTTAAGGGGACCAAACATTGGCTCTTTCAGAATGTCTCCTACAATAATCACTACAAAATGAAAGGGACTTAATTTTTTCCGTGTTCTTTGCTAAAGGAGATCAGATCCATCTGGAGCCCCTTTCCTACATAGCACCAATACTGGTACATAACTTACTTTAAATATGGCTTATTTTAAATAAGCTTTGCTTCAGACAATAAACAATACAATATAACTTTCACTACAGACTTTATTTCCTTCAGCCTTTCAATTTTCTCCTGAAATTATTTTATGTCATTTACACTGCAAATCATAATGTTATGGAAGACTCTCTTCTGCATAGACCAAAGACAAACGGTATAGGTGTAGTTTAATTCCTGTGTGTAGAGACATCAAAGGGCTGCCTGCCTCGAAGCACTTAAACACTGGATAACCATCTTTGTGGAGAAGGTTCCAAATCTACCTCCCTGATCAGCAGAGGAAAATTACTGCTGTGGCACTGCTGGGATGTGAACTGATGATTCTTCAGCTTGTAGCCTGAGCTTGAAGTGGCCCATCCTCTATAGGGTGTTTATGTTCTAATGGCAGCTGAATTAAGCAAAAATTAGTTGATTTACTTTTCAAAATGGAAGTCATCACTAAGCTGTAAACTTAACAGCTTGAGAGCAGCTTCATGGAGTCAAAAAAATCAAGGTTAGAACTTTGAAGACCTATTTTTCTGAAGCTCCTGAACTAACTGTAAAACTTCAGCGAGTACATGTACTGCTCACCAGTTGCACTTTGCAGTCAGTGCAGTGGGGTCACACTCACACAAGTTGCCTTGCACCTCTTTATGCTAATTATAGCTGTCCAGTGTAAATACCATGTAGCCACACAACTCTTCTCAGTTAGGCCATGTCATCTCTGATGTGCTTGAGAGGCCTTAACCATTACAGGTGTCAATTTTCCTCTCAGTGGGTATATAGTATACAAATGCATTTATTGCAGTTTTCAAAAATCTTCTTATTGAAAAGCTGAGTTTGGACCAATGCAGAAATACTACATCACTTTATATATTGCATTAAACTACCAAAACTAAAAAAAAAAAAAAGGCATAGAATAAATTGAGTTTTTCTTGTATTGGTACCCAAATCTGCAGGAAGCAAGTGTGGCTTTTATCCTTACTGTAGTGTTCCAAACTAGTATCCAGAATGGCTAAAGAGTATCTTGGAATTAAAGTTGCAAAAAACATATAAATATCCCCTGACAGTTCCAAGTCCTTGGAACATCTGCAGTTAGGGGAAGTGTCAAAAAAAAAAAAAAGGCTGTATTTGATATCTGCAGAACTTTTTCTGCCAAGGTGTATCTCTTTTGCCATTGTGGCCAAGATACTCAGTTTCCTATTAGGAGAAGCTGATGCAAGTACTTCATGCTGCTGCTGTGGGAAGAATTCTACTGAAGCCTTATTTGTAACAGTAGTAGGAACTGGACTTACTACACTATTTTTTCTCAGTTTAGAGCCTTTTAGACCAGTGGTGCTTGACCTGTGGTATGCAGGGGGGCACGATGTCATCACGGGGGTCCATGAAGGCTTAAAGCAGGGGTGGGGAATGTCCAGCCTGGAAACATTTGGTCTGAGCCATAGCAAGCACTGTGCCTCCTTTTCCCACAGCCCCCTCCCCTCAACAAACTGGAAATTGAAAAAATTTGGAATTGCAATTAATATTCGATGCAGTCTAGTGCTTCAAGTCTTGAACTAAGTCTCAGTGGTCTGCAGACACAAAAGGTATTTAAAGGGGGTCTGGTGAAGGAAAGGTTTAGACAATACCCCCAGAATCATAGAACTGTTCTGGTTGGAAGAGACCTTCAAGACCATCAAGTCCAACTGTCCAGCACTGCCAGGTCACCATGAAACCATGTCCCTCAGCACTTCATGCACATGTCTTTTAAATATGTCCAGGCATGGTGACTTCCTTTCTCTGGGCAGCTGTTCCAGTGTGTTACAACCCTTTCTGTGAAGAAATGTTTCCTAATGTCCAACCTAAACCTCCTCTGACACAACTCGTGGCTGTTTCCTCATGTCCTATCACTTGTTATATGGGAGGACAGACTGACCTCAGCCTCACTACAACCTCCTTTGAGGTAGTTGTAGGGAGTGATAATGTCTACTTTTGTCCAGTCTAAACAACCTCAGTTCCCCCAGCTACTCCTCATTAGGCTTGTGCTCTAGACCCTTCACCAGCTTTGTTGCCCATCCTTGGATATGCTCCAGCACTACACTGAGGGGCCCTTTTCTGCCAAGCAGTTTTGCAGCCACTCTTTTTTCCCAAGCCTGTATTGTTGCCTGGGGTTGTTGTGACCCAGGCACAGGACCCAGCACTTGGCCTTGTTGAACCTTGTACAACTGGCCTTGCCCCATCAATCCAGCAAGGCCAGGTCCCTCTGGAGAGCCTCCCTACCTTCAAGCAGATCAACACACCTGACCAACTTGGTATGCTCTGCAGAGTTCCTGAGGGTCCTTACTAAGGATTGACTTACTCAATCCCTTTGTCCAGATCATTGATAAAGATATTAAAGAGAACTGTCCCCAGTACTGAGCTGTGGGGAGCACAACTTGTGGCTGGCTGCTGACTGGACTTAACTTCATCCACCTCCACTCTCTGGGCCTGTCCATCTAGACAGTTTTTTATCCAGTGAAGGGTATGCCCATCCATGCCATGAGCAGCCAGTGTCTCCAGGAGAGTGCTGTGGGAAACAGGGTCAGAATCTTTACTGAAGTTGATGTAGACAACATCCACAGCCTCTTCCTCATCCACTCATCTTGTCATAGAATGACATCAGGTTAGTCAAGCAGGACCTGCCTTTCATAAACTCTTGCTGACTGGGCTTGATCACATGGTTGTCCTGTATGTGCCATGTGGTGGCACTCAAGATGATCTGCTCCATAACCTTCCCCAGTGCTGAGGTGAGACTGACAGGCCTGTAGTTCCCCAGATCCTCTTCTGGCTGTTCTTGTAGATGGACGTCACAGTTGCTATAGTGCAGTCAACTGGGATCTCCCCTGTTAAGCCAGGACTGCTGATAAGTGATGGAAAGTGGCTTGGTAAGCTCTCCACCAGCTCCCTCAGTACCCTTAGGTGGATCCCACCCGGCCCCATACACCCTTCAGTTGAGTTTGCTTCAGTTTTTCTGACGTGATCTTTTCTCTTCTTGTCTGTGTTTGCCTGTAGCTAACAGCTCTGCTCCTCTGTCTCTTCACCAAGCTTTTGGTAATCACTGAGGTGTTTCAGCAGCTGCACACGATGCTGTAGATAACAATTTGGTTTAGTTGCATGGCCCTGCTCTTTCAAGAAGATGGTGTAAGCACTTGGAAGGAGACGCTTGCTGAGCATTCCGTGATCCTCAACTTAACATGAAACAGTTCTCCAGCAATTCCTTGTGCTCTCATTTTTTTGAGCAGCCTTATTTGAAAGAGGTGAAGGCTAATTCTGTGCACAGAAGCGAGCTGTAAATCTGAAGTTATTATATGACTATACCAATCAGATTGCTTAATGATGGCTGAAGTATAATTACACAAAACTGCATTCCAATGGCCTACAGTAGTTTCTCTCCAGTCTGCAAGAAAATTCAGAGTGGTTTCTTCCTCCCCTCCTGAAAACTAGGTCCTGCCAAAAGAAGTGTTTAGTGTGTATCCCTTGCATCAAAAGTATTCTTTGTCTTAACTTGGAGTTTTACCATTAATCCTGTCCTCTGAAGCTTTCTGTAGCTAAGGCAAACAGTAAGAATACTGCAAGAGTGTTTCTGTGTAACTTTATTTCCCTTTTCCCTCTGCAGCACTTCTGGGGGCCAGTTGCCAACTGGGGGCTTCCTGTTGCTGCTATTAATGACATGAAGAAGTCACCAGAAATCATTAGTGGCAGAATGACATTTGGTAAGACCTGAGACAAGCTTCTCCTCAGTAAACTGACTTCCAGAACATAGATTCTGTTCTTCAAACAGTGATATATTATTAGTTGCTTGCAAACTTGTGGTCTAAGCAGATACAACAAGATATTTAATTTTTATATAACTTCAGAGGCTACTTTAAAATTGAGATACTGAAAAGTTGCAGAGCTGTCTTTCAGAGGGCTTTCCAGTAATTCAAGGGGGGAATTCAGGTCTTCAACCTTACCAGTTGTGATAACCAGACTCACTCCTAAAGTATAATTCTTAGGGTGTCTTATGCTGTTGCATGCACTCGTTCAGAATGCATCTCTGTGGCCAACTTTATTTTTTGTGTCAAGAACAAGGTTGCCTTGTGCCAGACTTAAATAGCAAGAGTGACAAAGTGAAGAAATGGTAATGCTTGGTCTGCAGGGTGCAGAAAGCAGCTGAGGGGGGGTTAACTCCTTGGAAAGAAGCTGCCTGGCAGAGGCTAGCATGACTCTTAAATGGAATAATGTGGGAATTTCTTTTTAAATGCATAAAGAATATTTTCCCAGATTTTTTTTGGAACGTGTATAGCTTTTCCTAATGTCTGTCTTTATTGTTCAAATACTTCTCTAGGATCATAAATCTGATCTCTTTAATTTATTAGCTTAATTTTGGCATTATGTTTCTTCCTTAAATCAGTTAATAGCTTAATTCTGAGTAATTCTTTTCCCTGAAGCAAAATACTTTGGGGTTAAGGAAATTTATAGCCTCATGCTCACTAGGTACTTTGAGTAATTCAGTCTCTTAATTTACTTCCTCAATATGGAAGACTAGTTCCAGTAGTCTCTGGTATAGTGAACCTGTTCTGCAAATTTTGTTGTTTTTGTGGCAGCTACCCAGCTCAGCAAAACTGAGACAATTTTTTAATTTTTACAAGTAGGTGGTGTATGTACAATTATTTTTTTTTCCCCCTATCTTCTAGATTCTGTAGTTAAAAGGCTATTTTTCCTTGAGCAATTAATTTCCCTATATTTTGATTTGTTTCTTTCTTTAAGCCTGTGAGAACTTTGCAAAACTAGTGACTTCTGGGGTTGTAATTTCCTGTATTTAAATACAATTATGATAGCTGAGTAGATTAAAATTTTTTCATCTTCCTGGAAAGCAGGTAACAAAGCTTTATGTTTCTGAATAGTCACAAATTCCCGAGAATGGAAACCTCCTTCTCTTAGTCTATTTTAGAATGTTCCTAGCAAGAATTGTATTTAAGTATTTTTGAAAACACTCTCCTCTAGAAATATTCAGAATAATTGTGTAGGACAGGCCATGTCTCCTTGGGATTAACTTTTAGTCTCTGTCTGAGATCGTTTAGGTAATGAACGAAAAAGGTTTCAGTTGAATCACAGGAAAGTGTAGGAGGAAAATGAGCTTTTGTTGAAAGCTGAAGCCTGTAGACTTTCATACGTAGCAAAACTGAGCACAGCAGTATGTTTCCCTGCACTGGAACATAAACACAGTCAAGTTTGTAGGGCTACTGGAAAACTCAAAAGCAGTGAGAAGTGTTCTACCTGTCACTACATTCCACTAGTAAGTAAGTTATGCCTCAGCAAAATGCAACTAGAGTACTACAACCTCTACCAACAACATCTCTCATGTCTTGCAGCACTGTGTTGTTACTCCTTGACGTTCATGAGGTTTGCTTACAAAGTGCAGCCAAGGAACTGGCTGCTTTTTGCATGCCACTTGACTAACGAAGTTGCACAACTGATTCAAGGAGGACGACTGATCAAATACAGGCAAGTCGCTCTTTACAAAGATGAAGTCATCAACTGATGGCTCTTGGAATACTTTTAGTGGCTTCTGACTGTGGTGCAAACCCCTGCATGGTTTCTGAACGTGTTTAACTTCATTACCTTTTGGAGACCTATTAACTATGACTCGTTGTCTTGCACCTTCTTTGAAGCTTCTGAGGGGTGCACACAGAAAAGGCTGAAGAACCCTTATTGCTGTGGATGTACACAGGGCTTTCTGTAGCCCCTGGCTGTTTTGGGGGTTGCTTCATGCATTACCTCGATTAGTCTGCACGTGTCCATCTCGGTAACTAATTCCTGAGATGGAAATATCCACAAAAGTGAAGGGATTGTAAGTATGAAAGAAATAAAACCTCTAAAAGCTGGCTGTTGAGTGAATGGGGTGTGTCGAGCTGAGTGACTGCACCTTTGTTGTGTAACAGAGTGCAGACAGTGCCCCAGGCAACCCTCATGAGTCAGGAGTATGGCTTTTCTCTCATCTGCTCCAAGAAATCTTTGTGGAGCAATGGGAAGACAAAGCCTCCTGAACTACAAATTAATAAATGAGGCTGAGCACAACTGCAAGTGGACCTGCCTTTCCATAAATAACTGGCCAAATGTCCTTCATTCCTGAAGTTCTACTGTAAGTCTAGATTTTTTTGATAGAAATAGCAGTTCAATATTCACTCTTACAAAAGCTGTTCTTCTCTTGGCAGGTTGGAGAAAAAGAACTAAATATCTAACTTGAAATAAGCCAGGGAATGTGTTCATCCTGAAATACAACCAAGGAAGACTTGCCATCTACAGTTGCTGTGACAATTACAGTGGGGATAAAACAGAAACACCTATTATAAATATGACCCCCCACCAAGAATCCTTCTACTAATTTATCTTGCCTTTTGAAAAGTACTATTCAGCAATGTAAACCATTGCATTTGAAGTCTTGCTGCCTTATAAGTCCTTAATAACTACCCTTATCTTGAAGAGTTAGTCATCCAAATAACAAGCAATATTTGAAAACTAACTTTTTTATCTAACAGTCTACAAAAGTGGCCCGTGATTGTTTGACAAAACTTGTTCTCAAATCAGTGTGAACAGTGGTCAGGAAACAGAACTGTAGGTGGTATTGTTGTTCTGTGTATTAACATTCTTAAAAGCCATTTTACTTGGGTGCATTCATTCCTATTCTGTCTCTTTTTAACTGAAGCAGTGGCTTGCTAATCTACAAGAACAAATGTGTAGATGGGCAGCCTGGGCGTGACCAGCTATCCCTCTACCCTTACTGCATGCCTTGTCTCATCAAGAGACTTCAACAACATCCAGTTTTAAGTCGCACATCATTTAAGACTCAGAAAAGCAAAAGCATAGCATTGAATGAAGGAAGGGAAAGTTTGATGCTGTCCTTGAAGTTCTAAATTAATCTTTTTCCTACTGTTTGAGTTGTTGTAGATGTATGTAATTCTTACACAGGCAAAAACTTAACTTGGTTGGAGTCTGAGATCTGAAGGACACAATGTGCCTTTCGGTAGTTTTTGATGTCACTGGGAGAGTGGTTTTCCTGCATGACCTGCCTGAAGGCTACATTGCTGTAAAGATATAGATGACAAAGGATGTATGTGATGGATTTTATTTCACTGCTGTGGTTCTGAACAATAAACATGTTCCAAATGGCCATAAATCCCCTCCACATTGTGAAAAGTTTTGTTTATCATACTGTGATACCATTTTAAAGACACTGGAGATTTTTATGTTTGAGTCTGAATCTCTCTGTGGAACTGATGGCTTCCTGTCACTCAAGAGCTGTGCTGTCCTGGTCCTGCACACTGTCCTGTGTGCTCTGCTCCTGTCCCACCACAGCGAGGCTGGGAACCTGTCTTGCTGCAGCATCAGCTGCTGCTGGCCTTCACGTTGTCAGACAGAAAAGAATTTCTCACCTTTCTGAGCAAGTGCTGTTAGACTGCTGCGAAGGAATGTGACACCCTTAGGGGTTCAAGTGGGGGAGACAGCACCAGCTAAGGCTGGGCCCTCTGTCTGTCATTCCCCCTTTCCCCAGTCTGAGCTTGAGTTGTCTTGACCCACTTCTTCAAGGTGAGACTTAGCCTATAATTTACTATGGCATTAAAGTAGCTCACAATCTCTTCTGTTACAAGATTAAGTGTCCTTGATCTGGAAGCTTGCTGATTGATGATTTAAATGTGGAGGCCATTTAGTAGCACAGTAATAAATGGACAGAAAGCAATAACCATCATTGTGAGGTCAGAAGAGAGAAAATTATTTAAAGGCTTCTTTAATGAAGGTAATAACCGTTACCTACAGTGAATTCTGTTCGACCTCCCACAAAGATCTTGCACTGTACAATCATTTCACCTAATGCTTGTTTGGGTTTGTGGGTTGGGATTTTATTTTTATTTTTATTTTGCTTCTATGACTTCTTTATAAAGAAGTGAGCTTTCTCTACTCTAAAACCAGCAGAAAGCTCTTAGCTATGGTACTGCAGATAGAGCCTGCCAGCCCTCAGAAAGCACATTCTGAGTAAAATGTAGTTTATAGTGTTGTGGGTTATCTTTTGTTCTCTGTACAAAGCACAATGGTGCAATGTAGCAAACTGGGGGGGAAGGGGAAAAAAAGTCTCAATAAATTTACATGCTGAGAGAAGGCAGCAAGAAAGGGAGAGTTTGTTCCTTCGAACCAAGACAGATTTTGACATAGAAGTAAAGGGTTTAGAAAATACAATCCCAGATGAGGACAGAGCAGACTTCTAATTACTGCAGTGCCTGGCCTGAGCTCTCACACGAATGCTGATACAAAATGTGTTATGGTGCAACTAATACATAGGGCATCAAACCATCAAAAGTATTTACTCTGTTTCCAGTGTACATGGGCCCATATTACACTGGCACAGGTGCAGACACACACGTTGCTTTACGTGCCAGTTACGAGAAAGGAGTCATGAAAAGCTGGAATAAAAAGATGAGATACAGAAGAATAATAAAATGCCCACTTGTGTGATGTATTTATTGGTGGGCTTAGCACAAAGCCTTTTGTGAACGCAGCAATAGATGCTAATGTGACAGACTGCCAACAGTATAAAATGGTCATCTAGGAAAGATTCACAAGCCCAGTTGCCAGCTGTCAGGTTTTCAGCCTGTGCCTCACAGGATGCTTTGATACTGTCTGCATTTGGGCAGGAGTGACAACTGCCTAATGTAGTATGTCTGCAGTTCTGCTTCCGTAGAGCTGGAATCTCTCTGCTGTCATGCAGAGGCAAAAAAGTTCGTTCTGACTAAGACATTGTGTTCACTTTCTTTGTGAAGTGGAAAAGCAAGCAGTCTGATGTTCTAAAACTAGGCAATTTATTACATATATTGTGAAGAAATATCTCTCCCCACCACAGCCCTTTCTGCTTCTGCTGATCTAACAGCCGCCAATGCATTGTTTAGTCACAGTGGTAACCCCTTATAAATAACCAATGCCCATAAAATCAACCCAATAGCAACCAGAAGGCAGCAATACTGGCTTTCTGGCTAACCTGCCTTGAGTGTCATCAGTGAAGTCCTGCCCCTTTGAGATCATCATCTCTCTTTATCACATGGCTAACCCTGTGTTATTGGATTCTTCTTCTCCCTCTCTTCTCTCCTTTTTTAACAGTAGGTTTCAAGTAAATATGGCAACAAGCCTGGGAGTTTTCAGCTTATTCATGTGATCTGAAATCTGGGTCATGTCTTTCTCATTAAATGCAACTCTTGCATGGGGATGACTGGCCTAAACTCAGGCGTGGGTGCAAGGGACAGCAGTGCCAGTTATGGCAGCGCTAGCAAGTGCTTACATGATGGCTGTTTGGCCCACTGTGAAGAAAAATTTAAAAGTACAAAACAAGCCACTTACCATTTTGAAAGCATTTAATAATTGTGAAAGTATTTAACCCATACTTTATCCAGGGGAGAACCATGCTGTAACTTGCTTTGATCTTGGCTAGAATAGTCTCAGGTCATGTTTGTTGTCCTAGGGTTTGTATTAACGGAAGAGGTGCCTTCTCAGAGTGCTATTGAGTGATGTAAACGATACTTGTAGCCCCTCATTCTCTCATTCTTTGAAGAAGATGTGTGGTGTTGTGAAATCTTAAAGCTGTCTCCTGGCAGGACAAGATATTAATCTCCTCTAATCTGGCACTTTGCAGTCTGTGTGGGTCTGAAATCACAGCTTAAACACAGAAAAAACTCCAGATTTTAACTTGTAGCAATGCCAAGGGAATGGCGAGATCGTCTCAACCATTTATCTCTTAGACATTTGGATATGCCATGTATCCTTGCCCCTCGGATTATTTAAAATCCTAAAACAATTGCTGTATTTCTTCATGGAGAAGCCACACGAAGCAACAGGTATAAGGTACTTTTGTAAGTGCTTGAAGTTCTGGGTCACCCGGGAGCAAAGAGCAAAGCCAGTGGTGTGACTGGTAAAACCTCTCTAATCCTGCATGTTTCTTAGACTGGAAATTGGTGCAGATCAGCCAGTACAGGCTCTTACATTTCCCTCCAAAGCTTTGCAGCAGCTCACAGTGTTAGTGAAGCACAAGCACACCGAGCTACTAGGTGCCTGCTGAGCTCTCCGGGAAGCTGCTTTTATTTCTGTAGCTGGTTTTTGTGCGCCTCTGCTCCCTACCTCAGAGACCTGTGAGTGAGAGATCACTTTTTGTCACTAGAGAAGTGGTGTCTGGACCTGGAAAGGTTTGAGTCACAGCAGAAACAATAACCGTGGAGCTCTATGAAGCCACCAAGTGTGTGCTCTGCCAGATGGGCCTGTGACTCTGGGTAAGGTGTTGGAAGTGTCAGACAAATTAGAAGCGATTGGTTTCCTGAACTGAAGCATAAAGAAAGGGAGAAATTTTCTTGCTTTTCCTTCCTTGCTTCCTTGCTTCTTGCTCCTTGTTTTTGGATCACTGCTACCCATCACTGCCAGCAATGCAGGCTTGCTGGAGGAGGTTCATAACTGCATCTTCAGGAGCAAGGCATCTTTTCAAAAGACAAAAAGGGCATTTTTGCCCACTGGTAAGCTCCCTTCCTTTCAGTAGGCTTCAGAAGCTGCTGTTTTGTTTGATGTGAGATGTTTGCACCAAGCAGCAGGATTGAGGTGTTGTCTTCTGAAGTAGAATGGGTAAGTACCTGAAGCAGGAGGGATTGTATTTTATGTTTTCTACCCTGCTCCCAGTAGGTCTCTGTAAGAGATCTTCTGCTGTTGTACTTGGCATTCCTTGTAACCCCTACCTTTCAACTTCCAGCTATATCCATTCAAATGTCCCACTTCCAAAGGTGAAGAATGCAAAGCTGAAGAGGGATATGGGACGTTTGTGCCCTAAAGTGTGACCAGAACAATCATGGAACTCTTATGCAATAAGGGTTTACAGGTTTACAACTGATTGAGCTACAAGACTGAAGGGTACAGACAGTGCCCTATGTACATTAAAACCATGGCACCAACCACATCAGTTCAGTGAGTTGTCTGAATTCATGTGGTTTTCAAGAAGACAACATTACTTAGAAGATTTTCTAGCTACCTTCAAATTGAGATGTAGATACACACAAACTAGTGAGGTCAAGGAACTATGAAATTTTTAAGCAGGATGTGCTGTACCTTAGGAACAGAGAAATAAACTGGGGCTTGCAAATCCATAATGCCTTCATCATGAAACCAGAAATTAGCTCCAAATGTGGTAGGTTTGTCAGCTAAAGGTAAAATGATTTTTTTCTACTGGCTATTTTGACTTGTGTTCAGAAAAAGAATTTGAGCTTCCTAGAAGAGCAGAACAATTTATCAGTCCTGCCTTATCAGCCAAAATTCATCAGCCCAGAAATGCTGAACAACATGGGCCTTCTCAGTTGCCTGTTTTTCATGGGAAGGCAATG